AACAGAGGGTTAGGTAGAGAACTCCTTGGTAACCGGCACACAGACGAGAAAAGGGGTTGGAGCTACACCCATCATACTGTGTGTGTATGTGTGTGTGTGTGTCTGTCTGTCTCTGAGGACTGGACTGCCCGACCAGCAGGAGTGGTGGGTGTGTGTGTTTGTAGAGACGTATTGTCAGCTTAGCAGACGCTCACATGCGCTCACAGCTAAAGCATCGTGTAGTGAGCGGAGCCGATGCACCTTTCGTTACGTCTCATTTCCCCCCCAGGTTTGTTATTTTTATGCCTCATTAGGGCACTTGTTTTTTCTATGAGGAAGTCACAATAGTTTGGAATCATGGTGTTTATCGGGACCTCTTTAAAGTCTTTCATCAAGTTCTTCAAGAAGAAAGGTAAGATATATCATTGGAAGTGCTTTGAATCTATTCTCGTAAAAAATAAAAACGTCTGTTTTGCATAAATAAGAATAAAAGTTTTGATTTCCTGAAGCTTTTGTAGGCATTTAAACTTGTGCAACAAACTATTTTATAAGCTTAATAAATATTTTAGATATTACAAATGTACCAGCTGTAATAGTAAAAAAAAAAAAAGTATAAATTATTTTTTGAGGTGCTGCTTCAGTAGCCAAACCTTTGGGGTCGGTGTTGTGGTGCACACTGTTACCAGGTAACCACTGGTCTGAGATGTTAGATTCAACACGTCTTTGTGCTAAAAGGCCTCGCAGCATTTAAGGAGCATCAAGAAAAACTTTAAATTTACTACTTTATTAGAAAACATATGCAGGGTATCTTGGAGAACAGTACAGGTTTACAGTGTTTAATAAAAAACAAAGGTTTTTTTTTTAATGTCTTATGCATCCTGTGCACATGGTAGATTATGACTAAACATATTGACTTTTATTTTATCAATGGGCTTGTATCAAACACGTGAGGACTGTAAGACCTGACTGACGCAGGACAAGCTGCTTGTGAAGACAAGTGGTTTATTTATAGCTTATGTTTGTGTGCTGAAGTTAAGGTGATGTTAATCGTTATCTCAGCATTTTCTGTTCACTTCCTGCACTTGGTTCCTCTGCTGACCCACAGCACAGCTTCAGAAGGTAGTTTGTGGTCAATTTCTCCTGAAAAAGCAAAGAGGAACTGCAAAATTATTGATCTAGAAGTTAAAGAAGAATGTTAAATAGTTAGGATCAAACCATTAGTCTGGTGTTTGTACATGTGTGATATGTGTGCACAAAAATACTATTATTTCATTATCAAAAAGTCTTGGAAGAAATAGTTTTTCAGCCCACCTGATCTGTTTTTTTTTTTTTTTTTCCTGCTACAAAGCAAATACAGCAGTTTGAATTTTTATTTGCACTTTTGTTTCACGTAGAATTATAAAACGCAAAATGTTTTGTCCAATTTGCAGCTCAGCATTGGTTTCTGATAAGTGATAGACAGCTCTGATTAAATAATGTCAATAATGACTTTATGAAAAACCAACACACTAGATGTGATGTGTGCATGCAAGCATCCAGGATTTAGCTTATTTTATTTTTTCAACCATTGCATTAAAAAAAAAAAAAGCTTTTTCAGAAGCCCCTTTACTCAGCTTGTGTTTGTTAAAGAGCCGAGGGAGAGCTGGATGTCAGTGCACAGAGGGATTACTGAACTTTTAAAAAGACTTCAGCACCAGTGTCCAGGGAGTGTGTGTGCTTAGAAGCCAGGGGGTATTGTGGCAATGAAAAGTCTGATGTGAAGACTGATGCAGGGTGACAATACAGGCTTTGTGTACCCAGTCCCCATGTCCTTGGTCTTTTCAAACCCCCATGGTTGGAAAATAAGGTTGGGGGAGGGGCTACCTGTCCTGACTGTGAGAAGTAAAATCAGCCGAATATGTAAAATCTGGTTGGTTTACAGATCAGCTCCCATTCACAGACGGCTGATCAAAGATTTTGTGTGACTTTATTTTTATTGTTGTATTGTGACCACTGAGCTACACGACAACAGCGATCAGATTCTCTGACGCCAAAACTTTTTAAATACACGTCTCAGAGTGGAAATTTTTCAAACTTCTCAGCATCGTTTCACAGGAAAGCACAATTTATCTGAAAGCGGAAGTATTCGGACACACACACTATGATTGCAGTCGGTCAGTAGTTTACATTTTCCTGAGTCATTTTGTATTTTAAAGTAACATGTGGCGGCAACCCAACCTCATCGTCAGTCAGACCAAGGGTTCATGTAGTCAGATGGCACCTTTCTCGTGCTTGAGACTGAGGCTCTGCATGCATGTTGATGGAGAAAAAAAAAGTACGGCACCAGCTAGTGACCTGGTATGGGAACTACAATGGGTTCAACATCTTTTGCAGTCGTGAAGTGTAATTTTTCTTCAATTAACATCGGAAAATCTATGCTATTTCCAGATCTTTGAAGTATAAACTAAGTGGCTTTTCTACAATCATTATTTGTATTTCCTTGTTGTTCTTTGAATTAACTAAATTGATTGGGGCAAACTAAATGGCCAATGAACCTCTTCATTCATTAGACAACAGCTTTTTAAAAGTGTGTTTAATAACCTCATCTTTTATGCTTTCTCACATTATATTCAAGTATCTTTTTTAAGGACCTTGTGAAAAATTGCACATTTTCACAAACATTTTTATTCTCAAACATTTGTTTTGTGCATCGCAGATTCTATAATTATTTGAGATCTTACCCTTGTTTGGAACAAACAAATCAGGCGATCATAGACTTTTCACCCTCGTCTCACGGGCTTTTTATAATGGCGTTGATCAGGGATGATGTCACGAGAATTGTGGGGAATCCCCAAAGTCCCGGATGTCAGCAAACATTGCATAATGGCTACCTCCAATACTTTTGTCCTTGTAAACTTAAGCAAAGACGGTGTTCCCGGGGCTAAAATTTATTTGGAATATATTAAAGGATGCAATAATACACAGCTCAAGAGCTGGCTGTGATATAGGGGACTAGCAGTGTCGGTAACCGGGCAGAATTGATAAAAATGAGCATGTGACATTCCCCGGTGTTTCCGTGCTGATTTGCTTTAGTGAAAAAGCACGGATGACAGATTTCGTGTTGGATGCATGCCATGGATTTTCCATGTTTTGCACAGGTTTTTGGCGGCAGGATGAAGATTGATTTTGCGAAGACATGAATAAACACAGTCTGCTTTATCCAACACAGCTGTTAGTTGCAGTTGATTAATGAGACAACAAGGCATCAAGGTGTTTGTAGTAAAAAGCTGCAGAGCTTCAGCACAATCTGAACTTGGCTCCCACTTTGTTTACTTGTAACTTTCAGGTGCCAAAAACACCAAAACACCTCTGACATAATCATCGTTCAGACAGAATATCAGAGCCGCCGTTGCACGTTCTTTAATGACCCATTTGCAGAGGCCTCTGCTCAAACACACCAGTGCTTCCACTGATCCACCCCCGTGCCACACTCACATGCAACCCATTTGTGAGGGGTGGAAAAATAACAACCCTACAAAAAAAACACTTCCTGCTCCTCCATCAGCTGCTGAGATCCATCCCACTTCCCTCCTGCTCCTTCCAGACTGCCTCTCACAGTCAGATGTTGTGATGATCACAACACAAATGGATCATGGTCTGAGCTTGAATTTGGCTGCTTAGATGGAAATTATTCTAAATCCACGATCGCCAACTTTAGCCTGGCTGCGCTCACTTGGTAAGCTCTAGGAGTTGATAAAAGTGTGCTTACGATGTTGGTAAAATCAGATCTAGTATCTTTTGATGGCTGTTGTTTGTGCTTAATGATGTTAGTAGTGTTACTATCATTTATCATAGCAGAATGATGTAAAAGATTCTTGGGACCTAACTTGGTCATTTGTCATTTAGAAACTTTGTAGAGGTTATGCTAACAGCATGTCGCAGAGTTACACCAGCAGCTTGCTTCAGTTGAGTCTTCAGTATTGTCTGTATCTTTGAGCTGGATTTTCTGTAACTTTCTCCACCATTTCTTTAATTTAAGTCTCCCCCCCCCCCCCCCCCCCCCATTTGTGTGGCCTGCAGATGGTGTGATTTCCCACTTAAGTGTCATTGATGGTGTGAAGACCGACACCTTTGTACAAAGCATCTCAGTCTCCCGCCCCTTCCTCTCCTTCAGTGCGTGTAAACAAACTTTTAGAGGGTTCAGTACCAGTGTTGCCAAGTCGGCTTATTATAAGCGACTTTGGGCTTGTTTTTTTCTAAAGTTGTTTGCAAATCTTGTGAGTCGCTGGTTGCAGTTTTTTGGACTTGTTTTTGAACGTGAAGTTGCTTCCTTGGGCTTGACTTTCTTTCCAAGTGAAACTAGTTTATCTTCCAGCTCCGCACAATAAAGCACAAGACGAGTGGTAGTAGTTTGTCCCTTCCACGCCTCCGCTTCCTGTTTATTGCTCCCGCCCAAGTTGGCGAGACGACAGGCGCACACCTAAACACTCATACTGTGGTCGACCACTAGGGGGCTTCACTCACACACAGGTGTCAGAATGTTTTGTTTAAAAAAAAATGTAGAAAAAATGATTTACATATTTTTACATATGCAAAAAGTATTTTTTTTGTATCAGAGCTTAAAAGTATGTTATTCAAGGTGCTTAGCATAATTTTGCCATTGTTTATGTGTAATGTCGTAATAAATGTATGTTTATACTGTTTAAAAACGGCCTGTTTTACACGTGGTGGGTTGCCAGTTGGGCTTTTTTGGGCTTGTTTTCATAGAGCTGGTTGCTTATTTCTATGGCGAGATCTGGCAACACTGTTCAGTACTTCAGAAACCATTTTCCGAGTCACTATTTCAACCAGTTTTGCAGCTCTTGATCCTAAATTTGTCAAACTGATACTACTTTTCTGTGCAACATCCACTGACTGTGTTGACCGTTGTTCTTCCGGTGCGGCCATGTTGGCGTGTGAAACGAGCCACTGAAGCCAAATAAAACTGCAAAGATGGTGCAAGATAAACAAAGTGCTCATCTTTTTGTGTTGTGTCTCTGCAGCTGTGTCTAACCTGGACGAGGAGAGCAAGTGGACGGTTCACTACACAGCTCCGTGGCATCAGCAGGAGAACGTCTTCCTGCCGGGCAGCAGGCCGCCCTGCGTGGAGGATCTCCACCGCCAGGCCAAGGTCAACCTCAAGACTGCCCTCCGAGGTAAAACATCCCTGCAGTAGGAACACTTTACATTACACTGCACTTCATTATTATTTTTTGCTCATAATTTTTTGGATTTGTTGATGAATTGTCAACAAAAAGACAAAAAAATAAATAAAAATTCCAAATGGTAATTCTTGCTTGACTCCAACCAAACTCCATGAATTTAAAAATGGGAAAAGCCTGTAGTGTCTAACTTTAATAATGAATACAACATAACAGCTAAAACTGGTATTTCAGCTATGTTGTCTCGTTTGTGTACATCACAATAAAAATGCTCAAATACGTCGTTTACGTTTAGTCGACAACACAAACCGTGAGGTCATCTTCCTTCTGTTTGTCCGGTGTGATTAGAGAACAAGGCTCACCCTTGTTGTCAAACACATGGAATAAAGTTACAGCAAAGGGACGACCCTGGATTTAAGATTCTCACAGATTTCCCAGAAAAGGAAGTGGGAACATGAATAAATCCTGAGTTGTTTTGCAAACACTTCCTGGAAAATAATCTGTGGACTTGTTGCTCAGGTAACTGTGTGAGAAGCTGATATGAAACACGCAGGTGTGTGTTGGTGTGCAATGAGTGTTTGATTGTAAATGGTTGATGTTTACGCTCCAGACTGTCCTTGTCTAGCAGAAGATTAAAACTTGCTGGTAATGGTGGGAGAGAGGAACAAATGGGGGGTTGATGTAACTTGACGCTCTCACACAAACACACACAGGTTTTCTGTCTCACCACCTGGGAGGAGCGATTAATTTGGCCCCTCCTTGACTCAACACCATCCCATTCTGTCTTCACCCCCCTCCACCCCCAGGTGTCCTAACTGATAGGACAACAGGTGTCCAACGAGAACGCCTGCGCTGCCCATTTGTGTCCAGCTGAAGAAAATATGAGACTGGTGGTCACACATCAGTTATAGGCTTGTAGTGTTATCGGGAAATGCAAAATTACCTATAAATAATTAATAAACTAGTGTAAATGCAAAAAATAAAACTTTCACATCCTTCATGTAATTTTATTTATTTGACCTAACCAGTTTAGGTAGTTACACGACATTGCAACGAGTACCTCTAAATATTATATTCTAGTATTTTATTATTTATGATTATGTATCATATCATCATATTTATCATTTGAGCTTTTTAAGCCACAGTATTAAAAGCTATAGTAATCTAGCAACAACAACAAAAAAATTATTTTCCGCTGTACACGTCGCACCGCCCTATAAGTCGCATCAGTCCAAATATGTCTAATAAAGTGGAAAAATCCATAAATATGTTGCTTCGCCATATACGCTGCATCTTTTATGCATCACCGCTGACAACCCGGAAATGTGGGCCGAACCTGGAAATGTGGGCCTGTGTTGTGCCAAAAATTGATTGTCTGCCAAATGGCGGCCGTGGGATGTGCATGGGAGGATTTTAACAAGAATTTAATAAGATTAACACTTAAAAATCGTTTTTTTGTTGCTTGAAATTATAGTAAAGGTGTGTCTCAGTTGAACTTTTCCTTAATAAATGCACTTTAACGGTCAAATCAGCTGTTTTTTCAAAAGTATTCTGTGCCTCGGTGCTCCGGGAGCATGCAGATGTCAGAAAGGAGGACTCGCTGTGCATTTCTTTGAAATTTAACAAGATAACCACCTAAAAACAATTGTTTGTTTGCTTGACATTATAGCAAAGGTGTGTCTCTGTTGAACTTTTACTTAATAAATACACTTCAGTGGTCAAGTTAGCTGCATTTTGCCGGGGCGACGCAGTGACATGAAGCTGATTTGATGTTTGCTCCAGGCGAGATGGACGAAGGTGGGAGTCTGTGTCAAGCCAATGGTGTCACTAATAGCCACTTTTACCTATTACATGACATAACAGCATGCCATACTACTTGAGTGCCATCTAGCGGCTGAAAATGGTAGTGTTCAATATTTTCCATGTCAGAATGAATGAAAACGATCATATCTCAGTCAAAAATTGGTTTATAGATATGGGGAAAAACAAACGTAAATAAACTGCTTCGCCGTATAAGTCGCAGGGCATGCAAATTATGCAAAAAGGTGCAACTTATAGGCCAGAAAATACGGTAGCCAAGAATTGCCCCTCCAGAAAAATTAGTCCAGATTTGCAAAGAAAGTCTAAAAATGTTTGCAATTTAGAAATTGCCTTCACACCAGTGCCATTTTGTCAGTAAGAAATCTCCAAAATACTTATAGGATGAATGTATTTTGTCAGAAAAAATGACCTTCAAAACTGTTTTTTTTTTCCCTTAATTAATTTATACCTCTCATCTTCAGTCTTGCCTCATTAGTTCTGCCTAGCAACAAGCACCGCTCCTCTCATTACAGCTGATCCATCATGCACCACAAATCATCTTAACAAATCCACCCTCGCCATCATCCTCATCAAAACCATGTTTCTTAATTCCAGTCTTCCATGCTGCCACCTCCTCATCTTTTTGTTTCTTTAGCTACGTGTCAGGCCCGTCAGGATCCATTAGCGGACAGTGTTGAACATGCATCAGTGTCTCCTTAGGTTGGAGTTGTAATTAGCTTTGAAGATGCTGCTTGCCAAAGGGATCAAAAAGCAGCCTCTTTGAGGTGCCAGGCGAATATGGCAATGTGAATACAGAATTTATCAAGCAGTTCTTGGGATTTGGACATTTAAACAGTCCCTGATGAAACTTCTCATGTATGAAAAGACAAAACACAGAAAACGGTAAAATATTACAAACACAGACAGAGCAGCAATGTGCTAAAAAACGAGGAGGAAGGAGAGAGGACTGTTCTGCCATCTGTGTGTGACAGACTGAAACTGATGCCACTTCCTCTGGTTACACACACACACACACACACACACACACACACACCCTTATCACACTTTAGTGCACATCCTCATGACAGCAGGTGGTGACAAGACAAGGCAAAAGCGACACTTGGCACAACCCAAAAGGGACTGAACTCACACGACAGACACACACACACACACACACACACACACACACACACACACACACACACACACATATTCTGCTATGCACAGCTAATATGTGCTCCACAGCTGTGTGTACCCTAATATATGTATCACACTCCATTTGCTGTGTTAGAAGCACAGTTTGAATATATAACATTAAATAAAAACTATAATTGAAGGTGGGGCTTTTTGCTGAGAGTAATGTTGTAAATGCTTCAATTTTGTATGAGCTATTTATCTTGTAATCATTTGAAATTGTTAATTTGTCCAATTACTTTAGGATGACTTTTGGTTGTGATATATTGTATTACTCTTAGAGTTTCCCTCCTAGTGACCTTCATCTGTGAAAGGATTTTTTCTGACTCGTATATTTCTCTAGATGCTTTTGTTTTGGCTCACATATCAGTGGTCATAATGATATGGCTAACCTGTGTTTTTTGGCTCTTCTATCAGCTTTAAAGTGCAGGTTAAAAGAGAGGTGCTTCCCTGTTTTGTTTACAATTTCCAAATTGTTCAGACTGTTTCCTTAGCTAAAGAAAAGACCACATCAAGGATCTTTAGACCAACAAAAGAGAATGCAATCTTACTAAGAGTTCTTGATCAGGAACATTCCCCCCTGAATTTGAAGTTTAAGTGTCATATCCACATTAGTTTCTGTCTGTGACCCGTTCCTCTCTGTGTTTTTGTTTTTCAGAATGTGATAAGTTGAGGAAAGATGGTTTCCGGAGTTCTCAGTACTACTCTCAGGGTCCCACCTTCTCAGACCCCAAAGAGTCTACCAGCAGCCTCCAGGATGATGAAGATGATGAAAATGACAAAAAGGTAAGTAAACACATATCCAGCTGTGGTAGTCCTAATGATTTGAGTTCATGCACGTGGAAGTGTATGGCTTCTCCTCCAGTGTTTTAAACGACCCCGGTCTGCCCTCTAGTGGTTAGGAATGGTCACAGGTTTATTCTTTTCAAGACAAGTTCTGCATCTTCAAAACTTCTGGTAATGGAGCAGGATGCATGTAAAAAATATCCTTCTCTTTCTTTGAGTTTGTGCTCGTCGTCAACATATTAATGCTTCTTTTTATTATGTTGTGCTTTTACAGTCAGCTCTGTTCAAATAAAGAGAATAATGTTTTTTTTTGCTGTTTTTGTTCATAATTTTAAAGAGTGCTGTTTGTCAGATGTATTTTGTAAAAAGATTAAGTTTTTTTTTTTTTTTTATAAATCAGCCAAAATGGTTTATATCACTTTTTTTTTTTTTTTTTTGTGGAAAAGCAATATAGTTAGCAGCTGATAGTTTAAGGAGAGGGGAGTTATTAATCTAAATGGCAAGAATCAGAGGGTCATGCTTTCTCTAATAATGTTTTTGCAGAATAAAATATTTGTTGTGAACTTTTAGAGACGCGATTTATTGAAGGAACAGGATGCAACTAGTCGATTTATCTATGATTTACTAAATAATATCTACTGAATTCCTGTGGAAAAATATTTTACACCTTGCTTACTTTATTGTGAAGTAAATGAGCTGAGATAACGTCAGTATATACTTTTAAAAGCAGATTTGAAGATCGTTTCCAAAGCAATTGACGCTTAAGAAAACTTTTAGAATGCAGTGTTGAAGATTTTATTTTATTTTTTAATTAATTGAGATGAAATGTTTGACTTATTAAAGCTGATTTAAACACAGTTACTTTTTAATATACAGCTAGATGTGATCCCTGATCTTGTTTGTTTTATTCCTCTTGTTTAACATAAACAAATATTGTGATAATTGTCTTCATATCTCACATCCCAGCGCTGCCACATTAGCTTTGAGGGGCCGAGATGGTGTAGAGGTAGGGCAGCTGATTTGGGATCAGAAAGTCGCAGGTTCAACTCCCCACCATGCCCACATGCTGTGGTGTCCTTGAGAAAGCCACCTAATCTCTAATTGCTCCCCAGACACCTACATAGCTGCCCACTGCTCCACCTGGGTGTATCTCATGTGTGATGGGTTAAATGCAGATATCTAATTTAGTCATTGTATGGGAACATACAATGATGACAACACATGACACTTTACTTTATATTATTAGTGGAGTTTGTATTTGCACCGCCTGATCTCGGTTTGAGCGTCACAGTACAGAAAAACATTTTGTCCCCTTTTTTGTAAAGGATCTTATAGTTTTCAATCACTTCAATCTAAAAACTGAGTGTGGAGTGTAAATAATCTATCAGTGGGGTAGATACGCTTCTTTTTCTTTAAATTCCTCAAACGCAAACAAATGTATGAACATGTTCATGGCAGATTAGACTGTTTTCTTCTTTAGCTTCACGATTATTAAACTCATTTTATGTGCGCGCTGAACCTCGACACTCACAAAACGCTGTTGCTCTCTAATTGTTGCCTTTTGTCTCTCGTTATTTTTTATTTCTGTAAACTCTCAGGCATGCCCCCTCTACTCTGCCCTCCTCGCCTACTTATCCTCTGCTTTACAGTTTTGTCTTTCTTCTTCTTGCTTTCCTTTCACTTCCTGTTGTCCGAAGGCTTTAAACCAAACTTTATAACAGAATTTTCCACCCTTTTGTTTTACAATTTTTCTAAATCACATGTTTTCTATTCAACTTTCAAGAAAGCGAGTGGTTAAAATGTCCTGAAGAGTCTGAATAAATAACTTCCACAATTTTGATTACCATATTTTTTGCCCTATAAGTCCTGCGACGTATACGCCCAAGCGACGTATTTATGGATTTTTCCATTTTATTAGACAAATATGGACTGATGCGATTTATAGGGCGGTGCAACGTGCACGGTGGAAAATACGGTATATTTTATTTATTGAATCTCCTCAATAGCTTTGCTTCCCTTCCAAGTTTTGTTGTGATTATTTGTGCTGCGTGTGAAAAATCACTGATGGTAAACAAACAATTTGGCGAACTGAAACGGACCGTTTTACTGTTGACAAACGGCTGAGTTCAACGCCTGGACACGTCATTTAAACTGTTCTCTTTAACAACTGAGGGCTCTTATTGTGTCAGTTTCATACATGGATGAACCTCCTTCGGTGTCGCTCCGAAGCGTTTACCCCGTCATAAACAACTCCTCGCTCAGCAGGTGCTCGTGTTTGTGTGACTGTTTCCATTTGGCTCTCTAAAGGTCACGGCACTGAAATATAATTAATAATCTGTTGATGCATCCCTGAGCAGACTGTCGGTGATGCTTCTGGACAGTTTTATTGTTCTGTCATGACTCTAGAGTTATACTGTTGTCACCTTTTCCTAGTTATCTCTTTGATGTGTATTGCTTGTTTGTCTTCGCCCTCCTCCTTCATCTTCTGTTTTCTGTTTGCTTTCCTGCGCTCTTCTAGTCCACGGCTTCGTCCCTGGAAGACGACACATCTCAGCTCTCTATGAGATGTCAGACGCCACAGAGAGGGGGGGAAGCAGGGGACGCGTCAGAGGTCGACGGACAGGTGGTGTGGAAAAAGGCGGCGCCCCTCCCGACCCCGGAGGAGAAGATGAGGCAGGCAGCTCAGGCCGTGCCGACAGACGTAGTCCCCATCAACGTCACAGGTGTGTCAAAGCTCCACCGGAGCTCCACTTCTCCTCCACTTTTCCTTTCGTTCTTACCAACAAAACTTTGGCTGATTTTATCTTCTGTTTAGTCCAGCATCTGATCATTTTCAGAAGAATGTTAATTGGTAAACCCCTAATCATTGGGGCATAAAAGGCTCCTAAACTCTGCTGGATTATTTCCTTCTATCTGTCCAAGACACGACTTTCAGAAACTATTCTTCAACTGTAACTATTCCTTTTAGTCCTGACACTTCTGCTTTGGTCCTTCATTTGTCCACTACCCTCGTTTTTTTTTAAGCACAGTCTGCTGTCTTGGTCCGATACAAGGACTGTAACGAAATTAGTGAAAAAACAACCAAAGTCCAAAGAAAAACTGAATAATCTTCAAAAAGCCTGAAAAACTCTTGATCAAGACCAATTAAAGAAATCACAAGAATACCCGTCCCCTTGCAAATAAGGAATTTAAAAAAATGAAGAGTGGCTTTAAAGTTTTTGCTCAGTAATGTATATCAGAATATCAAAGTTCATGCTCAGTAATCCAGGTAAAAAAAAATCCAACAAAGTTAAGTCAGGTCATCTGGACGGTTTCTTTAAAAAAATTTAAAAAACGTTTCATCCTTCATCCAAAGGACTTCATCAGCCCGAGGAGCCACAACAAACTTAATCCCATAAGTGGCTTACTCACATCGTGGGCCACCCAGTTTTGTGGTGATAAGATGGTTTCTGGAGCCCTCCCTCTCCCCCGTCGACTCCTCTGTGACATCCTGGCCAAAGTGATTCAAAGCATATATTGTCAAACATATATCAGAATACTTTAGATTGGATGATGTGGAGCTGTAGTCAAGAAACAGCATATGTAGAAAACAACTGGAAGCAGACTAATAAATTTTAAACTATTGTTTGTGATGTTTATTTATTTGGCTGGTTGTCCCTTTAAATTCCATAGCTCAGCAAATAAAGAGAAATAAGTTAAATGTCTGTCTTTTTCTTTAATTTATGCTCCGACACTGATTGGATGCTAATTAAACAGCTTCTGTATGAAGTCATCCAGAGAGTAAAGCTGTCAGTCGTGGGCGTCTAACTCGTCTGTATTCCCGTCTCTTCCCATTGCGCCTCCAGGAGGCTGACCTTCACCTTTCTTTATGGATGTGCAAGCGAGCGTCTGTGTGTGAAACTCATTTGACAGCTTATCCAGAGGTCAAGGCTTCTCGCAGACTTTGTCAGATCACCAAACATTTGACAGATGAACAGGCGTACGCAGCAAAACGTGTCCACACAATCCCCTTGTTGGTGTGACTTTATTCCCACTGCTCTCCACCCTGTGTGATTGTGCCATGAAGGCATGGTGTGTAATAAAAAATGTTTTTTTGATGTATCAGTTAGATTATTTCGGAGACTTTAGGTATCCCAGGTCGGCCCCAACACCTTCGGCTGATGTCGAGGCCAGTTTACGTCACTGACGGTCTCCTGCAGACACTAATGAGAGGTTAATGTGGTCCCACTCCACAAACGCAGCATCAGCCCCACCCACTGTCACTTTAGGTTACTGATTCTGTCAAACACACACACCCACAGTGTGTTCATGTCAGATTCTGCTTCTTTAACACCATCACTCCATCACCAGCTCACCGAGGAGCAGTTCAGAGTGAGATACTGTATCACTCCTTGTGAAGTGAAACCAGCCTGAAACGCAGTTTGTGTTGTGTTTGAGCACTTTTCCCTCACACTTCCTGTCCTTGCATGTGTGTATGAAGAGCATGTTTCTGACGTTTCCTTCTCAGGTACTCAATTTTAAAGTTGGCTTTAATATTAACCACAAGTTATGAATCTGTCTTTCATTTTCCGTTTCTGTTTGAGAAGAAGCTTGTGTTCTTAGGTCATACATGGTAAAAATATCCAGCCAAAACAGTCAGGTTTTTGCACTTCGGCCTGGTGTTTCACAAAGTTAAAAGTACAGTTAATCAGTTTTCATGTTCTCTTTAAAAATATTAAAAACTGTATTGTTTAAAATCAATGTATTTTCCAAGACTTTAATAAAATTTCTTTCTTTATTAATCTGCGAGTTTTAAACCCTGGAATATTTGCTAACAATTCTAGAAACATTTTCAAACCTCGTCTTTTTAATTTTTTTTATTTTTATTGTATTGCAGTATTTTTATTAGAAGTCCCCTGTTAGCATTTAGACCCAATGTATATATTTAAGAATATTTAGCTATAAGGATAAATGAAAAGTGTCACAAACTAATAATTACTTTTATGTTGCTTAGGCAAATTTTATGAGTTTAACACAAATTGTTACAAACTTATTGTTGGGTAAAGCTAGTATAACATTTGGTATTTGCTTTTTTACAGATTTATTGATACACAAATGCAAAAAGCTAGACTTTAGTTACAGATTAGATCCAGAGCAGGTCAGTGTTTTTTTCTAAATTCAAGGACAATTTAAAAAAACACATTCCTGATCAATCAGCATCAAGATTTTTATTACACTGCACATTTCAGAGTGACCTTTTATTGTGGGCAGCCTAAGGCACACCTGTGCATTAATCTTGATGTTTAATCAACACTATGTCAAGCGTTGCGTTTATATTTTTGTTCATTATAGTTCGTTTATGTTAAAAGCTCCTCACAACCTGAACAAAAGTGTCCCAAATAAAAAGCATTCATTAAAGGAGTGCATTTTGCTCTCAGCATTGCATGCCAGGGTTTTAAACAAAGATGTGGGATCTGTTAGTGTTGGAGGGTGTGTTGGGGATGAATGTCAGCTACTATTATACCAAATCAGACAAATGGCTAAATACAGCTATTTTAGCCATGATAGAGGTGGAGAAGTGGATAGGCCTGTCACGATAAACGATAAATCAATTAATCGCATGATTAATTAATCTCTTTTCTCTTAAAATTCATTTTAACCGTCCAAAATCACGTTTTTGTATCGTTAAAAGAAGCTAAGCTACGAGCTAAACTAACAGTCCGACCTCGGGGAAAAAAAATTCTTGTCAAAGCTCCAAAATTCACGGTTTAAACCCGTGACTTTGTGTAAACAGTTGTTTTTCTCTGCCAAAAGAAGCCGAGAACTTATTTACTGATTGTTTTATTAAAAGCTTTGTGTGAAAAATGCTACGCTAAAGAGCTCAAATCACACCGAGCATCTGCCATTTTGAGAACCGAAAAACGAGAACAAGAGACAGCCCATGTCACGTCAAGGGGCGTCCCTCCCATTTTTCTTAAAGAGACACACTGTTCGCTCCCTTACTATCCATCCTTCGGTTCAAACAGTCTTGTACTGCCATTCAGTGGTCAAAAAAGGTACTACACATAAAAAATTAACCAACATTTCTTCTTAAATTTGACAATAATTACAAATTATTGTCAAATTTCAAACAATATTATCATTTATCGCAATAATTTCTGAGACAATCGCCCAGCAAAATTTGTTTTCGTGACAGGCCTAGAAGTGGGAACTTGTTTTCTTGTAACTTGTTTGAACTGACCCTCGTGTTCCCTGCCCTGTTAACGTTGCATGCTTTTTGTAAAACCTGAAACACTCTGCATGTTGTTGACTTTGTTCCTTCTGACTAACCGACTGCTGTTTGCCTGTGTGTTCGTCTGCTCTACGCTCTCGCTCTCCCGGCCACCAGGGGCAGTGTTTGATCGCCAGGCGAGCATCCGGCGCTCCCTCATTAACACTGACACCGTGTCCCGCCGGCCCAGGAAGGTCAAACGCAGAAAGACTATATCAGGGCTGCCTGACAACATCAACAAAGAGCTAGGTATGGTTAACTGTGGAGCTCTACTTCGCCCAACTGACCTCTTCTGCAACTCTGCATGACCCGTCTTCAAACTTATTCTGTTATTTATCACACATGATGAGGAAGAGGCTCGTTTAAGGTTATGGCAGTTTTCTGTAGAAGTCTCTGTCCTCAGTTGCTCTCCACCCAGTTAAAATCATTCACAGCTAAAAACCAGCTATGAAGTCTTCCCAGCTATAATTATTTTCTTTTTTTAACATAGTTATTTTCATTAAATAATAAAATTGGGGTTTCCAAAATACAGGTTTTGTGCGATAACTCTAATATAAGTCATATTTATCATAGTTTGATCCTGTTGTTTTAAAACAGTCTAAAAAGTTGTGGACTTTATATAAATATGACAGTCCAGATGTCTCTTAACCACAGTTACTCAGCTGAACTGGGTGTTAATGACACTGAGCTCAGACGGTGCAGCGTCACTGTTTACATGTCACATGGTAGCAGCATTTCAGGAGAACGTCTCAAGTCAAAGGCGAAGAGCTTTAAAGTGTGGTTAGTGCCCTGCGGACTACAACATCTGACTGTCATGATAACTGGAGCTGGGGTAATTGTCCCAGTGCTTCATCCCTCCCTGCTTTTGCACCAGAGCTGCAGCTTAATCTATCGCGGGAGCAGCAGCAGCCAAGCTGTCAGTTCAGCTTTTAGCGAAGGAGGGAGAAGAGTGTATGTGTGGTGCGGAGATAGAAAGAGGGGATGAGAAAGGAAAGGACGCAGGAAGTGTGTTTGATTTGGGGTACAAGCATCACCAGGAGAGACACCACAAATGAGAAACACATTCAAACAGTGCACCAGCAGGTATGGTCGGTGTGCATTTTTGTGGCGTCCGCAATTTGTGTCCTTGTATCTGCATTTAGTTTATGTTTTGCTGTTCGTGATTGTGTTTGAGCTTCGGAACATTGTGCACGCACGCTTGTGCTTTTGATGTAGACGCGTTGGCTGCCACGTGCTTCACCAGACCCCAGGAGATAATTGGCTTTTTCTGTTGGACTGAGCTAGAATGAGATTCAGAGTGCGTTGGTCGTATTTCTGTTTCCCCTCATGTCATTTCCTCCTTAATGAAGAAGACCAGGTGTCATTAACACCAATGACAGGACTACAACAAATCTAATTTAAAAGCTTCTCTGGGAACAGTTTATCTGAAAGTCCAGTCAGCTGACCAGGAGGTTTTGTAGGCAAAGAAGTTATGGAGAAGAGCAGGGGAAAGACTGCTGGAGAAAGAGGATGTCATACTTCACAGTGACATTTTTATCTTTTCTGTTTGTTTCACAGCAACAAAAGCACGAGGCGGAGAGCTTCGGCCACATTCCATGTTCCTTCCAGGACAGTACTCCACTTTGGGCCGAGTTGGGAGCGTCAACTCAACCCTCCGACATTCTGATACCAGAGACACGAGCTGCCAGACGGAGGAGGTGAAGATCGTACCCCCGTCCATGAGAAGGATCCGGGCGCAGAGAGGACAGGGCATTGCTGCTCAGATGGCAGGCTTATCTGTTTCCTCTTCCACAGGAAGTATCTCCATCTCCAGCACAGACAGCTCCGGCGTCTTAATGATGCATCAGTTTAACGGAGACCCTTCACGTTTTCACAGTCTGCCCCGACAGGGCGCCAGGGTATCCCTCAGTGCCGATCCCATCTACAGCAGTACACCCATAAAGTCAGAAGATCGGCCTCAAAGGCAGATCGGAAAGTTTCAGGTTGACGGTACAGTGGTACACATGAGGAATGCTCCAAGGACAAACTCTTTGCCCAGGCCCAAGTCTCAGGAGGTGAGGGGGACTCAGTCCGGTGAGTGGGATGACAGTACAGCATGTGTGGTGTCCCCTCATGCTGCCTATTCCACCTCCTACATCCCCAGTGCCACCCTGTCTTGCTCCACGGAGGTCATTACCCTCAAGACGTCCACTCATTTACCTCAGTCACCAAATTCAGTTTACAACTCACCAGGACCACCCATTATGACTTCTTCCACTAACACAAACCCACTGGTCTCTAGTCCAGCAGCTTTTTCCCACAGCTACACCAGCCCGGCTTTGGCCACATCTACTCCTAAACACATAGCACAGGAGAATGGTCCAGCTAGTGAGTCAGGTCACTCAGACAGCAGCATTCACAGTCACAGCACCTTAGCCCCCTCTCCTCCATCCTGTCCACCAGAAGAACAATGGATCTACGACACACCTGAAAATGTGGTAGCTCCACACCGCACTCTGACCTCCAGCTGCTCCACTCCTATCAACCAGTTATACAGCAGCCTGGATCACTCCTCCAGGACCACAACTGATTCCAGCTCCCTGTACTCCCAGGACAATGATGGCTACTTCACTTCCATGCACCTGGACTCAGGCCTGCGCTCTCGGAGTCACGGTAGTGGGCACGGAGCAGCAGCTGGACGGGCCACTCGACACAGCATGTACGAGTGCCGTGAGATGGGCAGTCAGGAGGACTCTGGGAGCCTGTACAGTGACCGTTCTCTGTCTCGCAGCATCTCCCTCCGCAAGTCTAAAAAGCCTCCGCCTCCCCCATCTCGTACAGATTCTCTCAGACGCAAACCTGGAGTAAAAAAGCCTCTTGGGGGCGTCAGTGCCCTCAACGGAGCTCATGAGCCCCATGGTTTGCTCAATGAAACGCTCATTGCCAGCTTGCAGCAGAGCTTACAGATGGGACTGAGACGAGGCAAGGGAAAAGGCGCCTCACCATCTTCACCTTCTCACAGCCCGAGCAGCGACTATGACGACCCTTGGGTGCTGCGGTCCCGTAGTCAGAGTAGCGTCAGCGCATGTAGCTCTGCAGCGTCACTGGCAGCTAACTGTGGCGGCGTGTCAAACGCATACTCCTTATGCCACGTGACGCCAACTCACAGCGATACCAGCAGCTTACGTTCTGACTATGCAGATTCCTGGGGATACTACACGGAGTACCCTCGTAACCATGGAGACCAGAGGACGCGGACTCCTCCGGCACAGGGCACAGAAAACCTACCGGCTGTGGTTCACACAGAAGCCTTACAGAATGGAGGAGAAATTCACAATAATCAGGCCCAGGGAGCTCCAGGTCAGGAGGGAGGGGAGTCGATGAAGGCCAAACCCTCCAGCTCCTCACCAGACAGGGTGCACAGACTCACCTCTCCATCCAGTGGCTACTCCAGCCAATCCAACACCCCCACAGCTGGAACACCAGTCCCCGCTCTCATCAGCAGGTCTCCCTCAGGCAGCCGGCCCAAACCCAAAGTGCCAGAGAGGAAGTCTTCTCTCCTGTCCTCAGTTTCTGTCTCCTCCTCCTCTACTTCACTTTCCTCCAACACGTCGGACTCACTGAAGAGCTCCGGTCCTCCCCCACCACCACCTCCACCCCTGCCTCTCTCTTCAGCTTTCAGCACCCCTCTCAACCCTCCTTCGCCCTACCCTCCACCTCTACCACTGAGTTCTGATGCAGAATCCCCCTCTCCTCCGCCACTCCCTGACCCATTCCCGTACACTCCCTGGGATACCCCTCTGAGTCCAGTCCCTGCTTGCTGCACTTCCCCAGAATTCCCTCCTCCTCCCTCTCCTGATATACTGATCCACACTAGTTCTTCCTTCAATGGGAGCCTCAGTCCTCCTCCTCCCCCTCCTCTGCCCTCCATAGAGCCCACTCCTCCTCCACCACCTCCTCCTCCTCCTCTGCCTCCTCTTGTACCAGCATTCTCTTTCCCCAAGAAGGCAGCAAAGATTGCTCCTAAACCTGATCTCGCCACCAGCCCAACAAAGTCACCTAAGCCCCTCATTACCCCGTTTGCCCTGCAGAGTGTTCAGCTCCGTTCAGTCAAACGTTCAGAAAAGGAAATCAACGGCAGTTTGGATCACATCAAAGCTCAGGAAACGATGAAAACCATTCAAGGTCTAAAACCGCAGACCCTAGAGTCTTTTTACACCCAGATGAATTCCACTGTGTTCACCCTGTTGGACAGCTGTGCAGAAGATGAGCTGCGGACGTCCTCACCATCGCCCGTGTCAAAACTTTTGGAGGAGTTGTCGCTAGACTGCAGTTTCCCAGAGGAAACAGCAGATAGTGCTGTCATGAATGGAAACACTGAGCACCAGAGTTACTCTCTGGTTAAAGCATTGCCCAGTCCTCCACAAAGCTGTGAAAGTTCCCCCAGCAAACAGAAGCCCCCAGCAGTCTCCAAGAAACCCAAACTCTCCTTCATCTCTCCATTTAACCCCCAACGAATCACCGAACATGCTCCACCTCTTCATGAGGGAACAACTATTCATACCAGAACAGAAGACCAAGTGGATGCACTGCAAAGACAAACAGAGGAGGAGGTGAAAGAGGAGAGAAGAGAGCACCAGGAGAAGGAGGACACTCCAGAAAGCTCAGAGCTTTTAACAGAAAAGAGTGAGGCATTAATTGAATTTCAGGAGGAGTTCTCCATTAGTGCCCCTCCAAACCAGGAGATGAGTGATGACCACGAAGTCTGTCCTAATGGAGATATTAATGAAGAAGAAGACGAGGAGGGAGATGGAACAAGCAGCGTTACAGAATCCATCAGCTCCAAGGAGGATGATACAAGTGAGTTAATGATTAAATTTAAGAATGTTGGTTAAACGTTAACAACAATTTTTCCCTGTTTTTATTTTCCTGCATATATTTTGCAACCAAATTACTTCTGCATACTTTGTGCTGTTTGAGCTTTTTTTTTTTTATATATCAAACCATTCAGCTCATTCAGTAGATGGTACTATGACTTTTGATTTTGTAACTTTGGTATTTTTCTCATTTTGAAACTTTTTCAAATATTTACTCTGTAAAAAATATAATTTATCCATCCATCCCTTATCTTTACCCTCTTCTTCCTGTTCGGGTCACGGGGGTTGCTGGTGTCCAGCAGTCACTGTGCGAGAGGCAGGGGACACCCTGGACAGGTCTCCAGTCCATCACAGGGACACATAGAGACAAACAACCATTCACTCTCTCACTCACACCTAGAGACAATTTAGAGTTACCAATCAGTCTAACATGCATGTTTTTGGTCTGTGGGAGGAAACTGGAGTACCCGGAGAAAACCCACGCATGCACCGAAAGAACATGCAAACTCCATCAAGAAAGGCCCCGGGCCAGGATTTGACCCGGCAACTAGGCCTGTGGTGATAAACAATAAATCAGTTAATCGCATGATAAAAGAAAATTATCAACCTCATTTTCATTTATCGGCTTTATCGTTTTTTCATGTCTCTCTTTCTACTGAAGACTCCGGATGACAAAAAGGCTCAACTCCGGTGTTCTTCACTGACCCCTCCCGTTCTCTTTAAAATCCATTTTAACAATTCAAAATCATGTTTTTGGATTGTTAAAAGCAGCTAGGCTACGAGCTAAGCTAACAGGCTGACCTCAAAGAAAAAAATTCCGTCTTGTCGAAGCTCCAAAATTCATGGCTGAAACCTGTGCATTCATCTAAAAAGTTTTTCTCTGCAAAAATAAGCTGACAACTTGTTTACTGATTTTTTTTATTAAAAGCTTTGTGTGAAAATGTTATGCTAAAGAGCTCAAACCACACCGAGCATCCGCCATTTTGAGAACCGAATAAAAGGAAAGAGAAACAACCCATGTCACGTCAAGGGGCCTCCCTCCCATTTTTCTTAGAGACACACTGCTCCTTACCTCACTATCCATCCTTCAGTTCAAACAGTCTTATACTGCCATCTGGTGGTCAAACAAAGGTACTACACACAAAACAAATTAACAAAAAAAATTTCAATATTAACGTTTATCGCAATAATTTCTGAGACAATTAATCACCCAGCAAAATTTGTTATCGTGACAGGCCTGCCGGCAACCTTCTCGCTGAGAGGCAACAGCTCCACCAACTGAGCCACCATGCCGCCATAAGCATTTATCAAATTCCTTAATAAAAAAATTATTTAAAATCTGCATCACCTTACTGGCCCATTTTTATGTTATTATGCTACCTTTTCTACTTTTAGCTGTCATTCTACAATTTTTAGGTTTTTGGTTTTAGATTTTAGCTCACGTTTTGCTACTTTTAGCTATTAGACAGCCTTTTGCTACTTTTAATGTTTAGATAGCTTTAAATTTTAGGTAGTATTTTGCTACTTTTGGCTTTTAGCTAATGTTGAGCTAATTTACATTTTAGCTAATGTTAGCTGGTGGGAATGGTAGTGCAAAAGGTTAGAGAAGGCGGGCCTGTGATCGGAAGATCGCGGGTTTAACTCCCGGTATTGACAACATCAAAATGTGGGTGGGATTGGTGAAGCACCCACACCTGCCTCCACCCTCACTTGCCCCACTCTGGGCCCTTGAGCACGGCCCTTAACCCCCAAACTGCTCCCCCGGGTGCCCTAGATAGCAGCTCTCTGCTCCACACAGAGGGCTGTGGTAGCTCGTTGGTCTGTGGTTGCATCAGGAAGTGCATCCGGCATAAAAATAATTGCCAAGTCTTCGTACGACTCATTTCGCTGTGGTGACCCCTGAAGAAGGGAGCAGCCGAAAGAAGAAAACATTTTTTTTAGCTAATGTTAGCTAGTATTTTGCTACTTAAGCTTTTAGCTAGTGTTCTGTTTATTTTAGCCTAATGCTTTAGTTTCAACTTCTGCAGCAAATTTTAGCGAACTCATTCAGCCCTCCGCACGCGCACACTGCATTTTCACAGAAAATAAATGATTTCATTTATCTAGTTTTATTTTTAACTAAATTACTTTTTAAAGTACAGAATTAAAATGTTCCCACTTTTCCAATCATTTTCTAAATGTCGTTTCTTCTTACTGAAGACTCGAGACGTAATCTCTTGCGGCTGGAAGTCGTGCTGCTGCCTGGTGTTTGTGCTGCCAGCTCCATAAACAGCTGTGAAATTTGTTTCCCCTCCAAAGCCGAGCGGCTGAACTTCAGGAGCGCTCAAAGCTTTAAAAACTGTGGAAAGTGAGTGGAAGAAGCAGCTTATCTCTGTGAGAGCCGCGCTGCAGCCTCATGAAATCATATATTCTCCTCTAAACATCCTTATGAATTTTATGAGCAGTGCAATCGTGGCGACTGTCCCCTTATTTTGTCCTGCGCTGCTCTTTTCTCTCTCCCACCATCCCACACGTTCTCCTCTTCGTCGTCCATCTTTTGTCCAAATATCCATTCTTTCTTCACAGCTTTTTATTTTTATATTAATCAACTCAAATGCTTTTCTCTGTCCTGCTTCCTTTTCATCCCAGCTTCTCTGTGAGGTAAGGAAAGGGGCAAGTGTCCTAGGGGAGATGCTTTTTTTGTGTGTGTGTGTGTGTGGTTGGGGGGAGGGACTCTATCGTATCGCGGGGGAGGGAGGGATCTGGTAAGGAGATGAAGGGGAGGATGGGTAAAGTGTGACTGCATTCAGCGGCTCGGGCAGCTGAATCTCAGATGTGAGTGCAGAGGAAGAGGAGGAGAACATGTGAGCAGACAGTCTGGAAGCTCCTCCGTTCTTCAGCTCTCGGAGGCAGCAGGCTGACGACGGACACATGAGCGAACCCAAACTGTGCGTTGCTTCTTTGGCATTCTGTAAGGAAGTGGAACGGTTTGTCTTTCAGGCGAAGTTTTTGAACCCAGCACGGCTGAATCGTCTCCGATTCCACCTGCCAACGGGGAGCCCGAGGAGATCATGGTGACCCCGACTCCGAACCGGCCCCGAACCACAGACGACCTCTTCGCCGCGATACACAGGTAACGATGCACCCTTCTGTTCCTGCTTTTAGATTTCCCTCTCTGTCCTTGTGGCTTTAATTTGTCCATCTCCTCATAAAACCAAACCCTCTTCCAAGTCTTATCAACTTCATGTTCCTTCTCGTGTCACCCTTTAGCTGACCATTTGACCCGGATCAAATGGCACTCAGCTGGAGTCCAGGACAGAGTAGCCTTTTCTGTTTCTGAGCATCAAAAAAAAATCAGACAGCGTCATGTCAGAAGCCTAAATGAGTCGGAATCAAATCCTCATCAAGACGTCTGTTGTCACGTCGCTCATTCTCTGCAAGAAGAAATAAATTAAGACCGTCGCTTCATTTATTATTTAACTCATCAACACCCTCTGGCCCTAATCTGGGTTAGAAGCCACTGGAGACGTTTCTGTCTTCGTGTTTCCATCCCTCTTCCTGGACGCACCACCTCTCATGCTCTCCGTCATGTATGCATGCGTGCTCGTCATAAATTTCTCATGCAGTTTGAGTTCTCAGTCACGTGCAGCAGCAGCAGCAGCAGTTGGGAGTTCTCATGAGCATCCCAGGATTTAATTTCACAGGATTTTATCTACTCGGAGCAGGTTTCTGATGCATTTACGGCGCCGCCGTCACACGTACAGCCATGATGTTTCTGCCCCTCCTTCACAACGCCTCGGTATTATTTAACGTATAGAATCATTTCACAGATGTAGGGCAAGATGAGAGATTCCTGGTGGTGCTGATGATGAGTGAGATCTAGTATGTAGTGTGAAATGACAAATTATACATAGACGTTTGTAAAAATATTCAGATACACCATTCCCTCTTCGTTTACCCTTTTTATTTATTGCGTTGCCAATTAGGGCTGGGCGATATCTCGATATTTAAAAAATATCGAGATAATTTCACACGCGATATAAGATGGGACTATATCGATATTTCTACATTGTGTTATAATTAGACTTGGAAATCCGTGTAGTTCTTTTTCTCCCATCTGCGCCACCAACTTCAGGCGGCCCCTCCTTCTCCCTCCCTGAGTACAAACACAGCCCCTCACATGTTGCTTCACACACGCTTACTAACGTCGTGAAGGCGGCGCAGCTCAAGAGGATTATTATTTAATATATGTAGTTTATTTTTTAGACATTTATTTTGTACAATAACAGCTGTTTGTTAATAATTGTACCTGTGTGACAACTGGGACTTGGCTTTGACTCAGAAATATATTTTTGTTATTACTTTATGGAAAGAAAAATATATTGCGATATATCGTATATCACGATTTATCTTAAAAAATATTGAGATATTAATTTTGCTCCATATCGCCCAGCCCTATTCATATTTTCCCCATTTTTGGGAGGTAAGTTGATGCAAGTCCTTGAAAGCTGCAGCAGAAAACAACTTTTCTTGAGGGAGATGCTCCAAACTAGACGTAATATTGTCAAGAGAAAGAAATCAATTGAGTGCTCCGAGCTGTGGCTCGTATTTCAGCTGCGTTAAGTAAGCTGTTAGAACTGCTGCTGTCTGTTCTGGTGCCACCTCTTCAGCATGGAGTTCCTGCAGTTGGCTGAGTTCACGCGTGTTGTCAAACACATGATGCAATGCTAACGTGACATGGGAACGCACAGAGGGAACCTGCTACAATAGAGCTGAATTTAGGCTTTGCGCTCTTATAACGGAGAGGACCCCGATTCCCACACAAACCTCTCATTTCCTGCAGTCGTCCTGCTTGTTCTGACCTTCAGCAGCTTTATTCCCTCACAGCTTGTCATGTGTGGAGGATTTTTGTTTGAGAATCAAACCTCAGCATTATAGATTCTAGCTGTGCCTTTTCTTATCTCTTTACCTTCAGACTCGTTTTTTTTTTTTCTATCTTATCACTCAATCTGTAGTTTTCACATTGCTCTGCTCCAACATTCAGAAAGAGGGGGGGGGGGGTGCAGCAGAACCAATCTTTAACTGGTTGGCAGGAGTCCCTCAGTGTGACCCTCTGTATCGCAGGTTAATAAGGCTGATTACCTGCTGGCCCTCGTTCTGGCAGCTTTCGTGCAGACGTCACGCTGCAGTCAGCCCCCTGGTGCAGGGCTGAGGTGTTTATCACTTTGCTCTGGGCTCTTCAGTTTTTGGTGTGATTAATGTAATTATGGTCCGAGTCTCGGCTTCTGTTGTTAAAACTCAGGGTTTCTTTATAACGTCATCATTTCTCAGTTTTATTTAAAACTCATTGAACGTCGTTTGGTCCACAGGTCAAAGCGAAAGATCCTGGGTCGCAAGGAGTCTGAAGAAGACAAGTCCCGGGCTGGGAGCAATTCACAGTCCCCACCTTCCACCCCCACCAGCACGTCCCCTGTGGTGGTGTCCTCTCTGCCCCGTCAGGCTGGCTCCATCCAGCGAAACCTCCGTAAGTCCTCCACCAGCAGCGACACCTTCAAGGCTCTCCTCCTGAAGAAGGGAAGCCGCTCCGAGACCAGTTTCAGGATGTCCGCCGCCGAGATGCTTCGCTCCACTGACCCACGCTTCCAACGGACGTGCTCCGACAGCGCGTTAGACCCCCCTGCTTCACCCTCCAGCCCGTCCACCTCCCCCGGCCGTGGCAAAAGGGCGATGGACATGGAGTGGAACCGCTACGACGCCTTCACGCTGTCCTCGCCAACCTCGTCGCCCTACTCCTTTGGCGGGTCAAAGTACGGACGCTCTCGCATCCCCCCCTCTGCTGCCAGCAGCAAATACAACGCCCGGAGCCGCATCCTTAGCAGCCCGATGACTGTGATCTGTGAGCGGGAGGGGGAGCTGGCTGAGAGCGAGCACGGAGACACCGGACCGGCAGTCCAGACCCTCCCAGCACTCAGAGACTCCACGGGCACATGATGAGCTGGACGCTAATGTACCGTAAGCAGGCAGGGGGCTGGAAGAGGAGCCAGTAGGGGACCCAACCTTCACCCCCATCATGATGCCAGCCCAGTGGTCACCTCACTGTGGACTGCAGAACAGTCTGAGGTGGAGAACTGGTTCAGCTCCTGTGAATTTATTTTCTCCTTCCATTTCTCTTAGTCTTTTAATCTCTTTTAATTCTTGATTTTGCTTTTTATTTGTGTTTTGTCGTCCTAGTTTCTTTCAAGGACCGAGTCAAGAACACACACAGGTGGAAGTGTGGAGTCTGGACATGTGAACTCCGCTGCACCGAGTAGTAAAAACAAAGTTGCAGGTTTGCTGTTTGCTTTAGAAAGTGACTGAAAGAAGCACAGACACGACATGTGGAGGACGTGGTGCAGCAGCCGGAAAGCTACTCGGTACAAACTCGACGGCTTTCTGCTCGATTTTCAGGTTTTTAGTGGTTTTGAGTTCACAGGAAGCGCAGCAGGTTCAGTGCTGCCACCTAGTGGTGGGATCAGAGAGGACTTTACTAAACTAAATCAGCAAAATCATACGGAAAAGAATAACAAAAGTGATTTTTTTGTTTGTTTGTTTGTTTGTAGGTGTTGCACTGTGCATAGATTGTTTTTGTTTATATGTTTTAAAGAGTTATTTTACATGTCTGGAGTTTGATCTTATAAATGTATAGCAAGAAAATCCCTTTTTTTATTGTTCAGGTTTAGATTTTTGTGGGTAACCAAAGAGTTTTACTAATTAAACAGAACTGTTCTGTTCATGTGAGCACAGTCTGATCATCTGACACCACATGATGAGATCTGTTAAAACTTTATGGCACTTAAATGACTTCTGTAACGCTTTTTATAACGTTTCTGCAAAGTTCAGTCTTTTCCTTCTTCCTAGTTCCGTTGTAAATACACAGAGAAATAAGTTTTAAGGGATTTTATTTTAGAGTTTGTACATTTTTAGAGCCTTGTTTGTTGAAGGGGAGTGGTTTCTTTTTTTTATATAGACTATTATTTATTTTCTCATCACTTTGGTCAATCAGGAAGTTGATGGAGGACTCTGAGAAACAAACGTTGGGAAAGAGAGAGAGACCACATTTACCAGCCCTATCAGATAGTTTTTATGCCAGAATGCTTCAAAGATGCAATAATGTCAATATTTATGGCTCCATGTAAATCTGCCGCTGGCGCTCACAGCTGAGTAAATGTGGTTCCTTCAGATTTATAAACGGGGGGGCTGACAGGCGTGAGACGGAGCAGCCCTGTGGTTTAATCGTCTGTGACCAAAACGAGCCCCTCAGCTCCTGACTGGCTGTGATTTAGCGCTCGGCTCCGGACTTCTCTCGCTAAACGTCTGAATCCCACAGGTTTGGGAACAGATTGATCGACAGAGGAAGAAGTGGGAGTGGAGGCGCTCTGACTGTCTGTGTAATAAACATCTGAGATATTTAAAGAGCACGTCTCCGTCGTTTCTCTCTGCGTGTGATTCAAGGCCATCTGCCTCGACACCCCAAATCATGGTCTAATTAACACCGTCGCCATGGCACCCTCGCTTGTCTGTCATGAGGAGAGCCCCTCCCCTTCTCTGCAGTGAGGTCATCAGTCTCTTTCTGGACATCCCGTTAGGATTTAGAGTGAATTATAGCCCCTTACCCTGCAGAACTCAGCCACTCTGACATCCAAGGCTCCCAGGGGAAAAGACTCGGGTCACCTTTTACTATTTTTATTCACCTGTCCTGTCGCTCCACAAACAGCCTCCCTCTGGCTGTCAGCGGAGTCGATACCAACTTATTCCTGCTTTAATCGGGTTATTGACACTGCTTCCTCCTGTCCTGTTGTTTTCAACTACATCTACAGTTTCCTTACAAGGATCAATTGACCTGAGCTGAGTAGATAAATCAAGATTATTAACAAGCTCCGGATCAGCAGCGCTGCTGCAAGTGATCTGCTCAAAAACGTTTGATCTCGTTTTGGTGCTTCTGTCATATCTCTTAATATTCACAATACATTTTTAAAAGTTTAACATGTTTTCCCTGTAGATCAGTGGTTTCCAAACATTTCTGACCCACAAAACAGAAGTAAATAAAGCAATTTAGACAGGAAAATATAGATTTAACATCTTTTTTCATCTGTTTGTAACTAGAGAAATTGCATTTCCTGTGAAAATGCAGCGTGAATGCTTATTCCAGAAGTATTTGCTGAAAAACAGCTGAAATTTGCTTTAAAATTTTTCAAAAATGTAGCTAAAATGGAAGAACAAGCCTAAATTAGCAGAAGAATGAAGAACGAACACATTTGCTGAAATGGGTTTAAATAAGCAGAAATGAGCACAAAAATTTGGAAATTGGCAACAAAAAAAGGGCAGAAAGAAGCTTAAACTACCAGTAGGAAGCAAAAAGAACTGAAATGAGGTAAAAAAAAAAAAATTGGAATTAGCTGAAAAGGCTAAAATTAGCATCACAAGAGCTAAATAGTAGCTGAAAGGAGCATAACAAATTGAAGTTGGCATAAATAAGATAATTAGGCTGAAATTAGCAGAAATTAACATGGAAATTTTGCTGAAAACAGCTCAAATTATCTAAAAATGCTAAAGGTAGCTGAAAAGAGCAGAACGAACATGTTTACCCAATTAGGCTGAAAGAAGCAGAAATGAGGACAAAAAAGTGGAAATTTGAAAAAAGCTGAAATTAGCAACAACAACAAAAAACTTGAAAAGTAGCTAAAAAAAAAAAAAGCTTAAACTACCAGAAGGAAGTACAGTACGTTTTTGCTGAATTAGGCTGAAACAGTTTAACAGAGTGCAAAACATATGGAATTAGCTGAAAAGGCTAAAATTACAATAAAACAGCTAAAAGGTGGCTGAAAAAATTCGAACTAGCAGAAATCAGTTGAAAAGAACATATGATGAAATTAGCGAAAAGAAGTTAGAAACACAAAAATGTTCTTAGAAAGAATCTGAAAGAAGCACAAAACAGCCGAAAAAACAGCTGAAATTAACTGAAAATAGCTGAGGGGAAAAAAGTTTAGATTTGCACAAGGAAGCTGAACCAGAACAAAATGTGAAAGGAGTTGTAAAAGGTTGTAAATTAGCTCAATTCAGAGAAAATGACAGAAAAGGCTAAATATTTCAAAAAGCTAAAGTTGCACCAACACCAAAAGTCATAACAGGATTGTCCTGACAGAGCTGAACATTGACATTGTTGAAATATCACAAAAATTGTGGAACGTGAAAAATGCTGAAAAACGTACTGAAGAAAAACGGATCACAGTCGTGTGAATGCTTCATATTTTCGGTGCATTTAGGAAGCTCCTTATTTCAAGACTCAACCGGCAGCTGCTAACGATCTGCTGCGCCTCACGCCCCTGAAACAGGAAGTTAACGTCCACCCTTCTGTGTGCAGCTAACGAGCTTCAGCCGCGTTTTATCCAGAAAATCTTCAAGCATTAAAGTTGAACAACTACATTAGAAACAGGCCCAGAAACTATTATAAACTTTTATTTTTAATATTTCCAACGTAGCTTTAATTCAAGGAAAAAGTCTTTGATGTGGGATGAGAGAACATGACATACTAAAGTTGCTGTTAATTATTTATAAGCGATCATTTCCACACTCCATCTTCTACGTCCTCTCAGGCTGTGAAGGCGCACATAAATTCAACTGTTAAAGATTAAAACAGAAAATCTCATTAAACACTCGTTTTTTTATTTTTTTTTACAAACGCCCGACGAGCTTTAGATCAGCGTTTGTGTCGAAGAGGAAAAAAAGAAAAGAAAGATGTAATTTCTGCTGAGTGTCTGAACACGATGCTGGGAACAAACCTGCCACAAATAAAACGACCGACTCAGCACGGAGCTGATCGCTGCAGGTCGCAGAGTGTGGAGGACAATCAGAATGTTTAAGAGGAACGTCTGGAGAATAAATGAACAGAATTGATCATTTAATGAGTTATATTTATTATTCGTAAAATAAACTTTTACAATGTAAAACAAGTTGTGTTTGTGCAGTGCTCACATCATTGTAGCTTCCCTTTAAACGCATTATATTAAATATTCAAAAAGGCAAGTTCTTCTGATTTAGTGCTTCATATATAAACATTCACACGTGAGATGGTGCGATCATCAGGATGCAGAATAAAATCATCCCTGATGACTGGTCCAGATTTACTGACACGTTTTAAACGTCTGAGAACAGAGACTCTGGTTCGTTGAGCTGCCGGACACATTACAACAAACAAAATTCAACTTTAAACGTGAACACTAAACAGGTGCTGCATCCCTTCTGGTTCATATAAAGCTTAATTTGATCCTTTCATTATAAAGTGAGAGCCATAACTTTGCACTTAATTAAGTTATTTTGGTGGAAATCGGTGCGTTCACGTGTCCTGGCTGAGTTTTCCACATTACAAGTATAAAATATTCAATTAAGAAAACAAAATTAACCCAGTTTCTGAACAAACATCA